AGTCCAGATTTCTCTCTCTTAATTTTTTGCATTGATTGTAGTCTCTATTCTTTGAGAAATAAAAATGTACGTATTGTCTTTTTGTGAGGAATTAAACTCAAGCAATTAACTCAAAGAACTATTATGAAAGAGAAAAAAACTATTTTATATTGACCAACAAAAATTAAAAATCAGAGGAAAAGAATTTTAAAGCACATTCAAATTGATTACCTGTGCATTCTATAAATGACAATTGTTAACATTTTAGGTACATTTTAGGTAAGCTTTCTGAGTGCCGTAATCCACAAAAAGATGGAAATTTGGACAGAATATGACTGTTTGCTGTGTACATGTATATATTTTCATCACCTTTACACATTTAATTTACCACATTCTCTCTCTCTCTCTCTCTCTCTCTCTCTCTCTCTCTCTATCTATCTATCTGGGTTCATGGGTAGCATGAAGAGTCATTTTGAAAATTCACTCAGTTCTGAGTTATATCACTCAGTTCTGAGTTATATCACTCAGTTCTAAGTTATTTCACTCAGTTCTGATTTATTTCACTCAAAGTGGTTAAAATGTGCATATTCGGCATGAAACATTCCTTCAAATTTGAATTTTGGTTTGGATTCTTTAGCTTTGTATTTCTGATGCTCTGTAAATTTATTATTAAAAAGAGAGTATCCGATTCTTGATTTAAATAATTGATTCTTTGAGTTACAAAGATTTGAAGGAGAAGTACACACAGGTTATTTCTTGTATGGGTGGCTTCATTTACATCCACATATACATGATGAAAGTTCATATTAGTTTTAATTTGAGACTGAATTGCAAATCACTCAAGTTAGTCACTTTTCTGAACAGATATTGTACAGACATCAAGATAAAGGCGTTCAAAATTCAAATTTTTATGTGAATTTCTTTTATGGTTATTTCTTGTATGGGTAGCTTCATATACATCCACATATACATGATGAAAGTTCATATTAGTTTTAATTTGAGACTGAATTGCAAATCACTCAAGTTAGTCACTTTTCTGAACAGATATTGTACAGACATCAAGATAAAGGCGTTCAAAATTCAAATTTTTATGTGAATTTCTTTTATGGTTATTTCTTGTATGGGTAGCTTCATATACATCCACATATACATGATGAAAGTTCATATTAGTTTTAATTTGAGACTGAATTGCAAATCACTCAAGTTAGTCACTTTTCTGAACAGATATTGTACAGACATCAAGATAAAGGCGTTCAAAATTCAAATTTTTATGTGAATTTCTTTTATGGTTATTTCTTGTATGGGTAGCTTCATATACATCCACATATACATGATGAAAGTTCATATTAGTTTTAATTTGAGACTGAATTGCAAATCACTCAAGTTAGTCACTTTTCTGAACAGATATTGTACAGACATCAAGATAAAGGCGTTCAAAATTCAAATTTTTATGTGAACCTTCTGAAATCTTAAAATCATTTTGTTTTCCTTATTGCCTAGTATCATTGCCAGGAGTGTCATTTTTGACAGACATGGGGCATTATAAATATTCACTTTTATTATTATTATTATGAAAACATTTTTGTTATAAAAACTTTTTGTTGTTGACATCTCTTTATCTGGAGAGATTCCCCAATAATACTTCTTGTAACCGTTGGTTCTTTCATCTATACTTTTAGCACTTCATGTACATCTGGTTGATTGTGATTCTTGATGTGTATTTCTCTTTGGCATGTTATTTTTTTTTTATTGTAATCAGAGTTTGCAGCGACATTTTTAATCACTTTTTTACAATTTGCACAAAGAAGTGAAATGAACAGGCATTTCTACATGGCAGAAATGGACAATTATTTCCAAAAATATTTAAAGTAAGAGACAAAGGAAAAGAAATAGAATCATCTGGGATTACATTTTTTTTTACAACATTAATTTATATCTGCAAAGATTGAAGTGCAATTTTCACTACCCCTCATTTATTACATAGTAAATGAATATCAACAGCACATTGGCATGAGGGAAGGGTATAGAAATTTATATATTTTTACAAGTGAATTAACACAGTTTCCTTGTTATCATATTGTAATTCTCACAAATGAAACATGTAAGGTTAGAATGACAGACATCATCCTGATATTGATATTGATATTGATTTATCTTGCATTAATTTAATGGGGACAGATGTTATGTGTGTCAGGGTACATGTACAAGTTCTCTATCATGTATTTTCCATGTTATAATTTAATATCGTTCACTATCAATTTCTACACATTGACCTTTTCCACTGTTTCTGATCACATCATCTCATCATTTATGTACTAAAATACTAAATGTCACTAACACATGTGTATATGTACTATGCAATGTTCTCAGTTGTCCTCAAATCGTCATACATTTTTATATTCAATCACTCCCGTTCACTTTCCTTATCAGTCTATAAACTCCTTTAAATTCTCAACATTCCTAACGTCCTTCTTAATTAAACCCCTCTTTCCTATGTCTGTACTCGCCATTCTGCAAAGGACATTGCTTCACATTCATTCTCATGAAACTCACATTTTTCAGAATATACTGTGTTCAAATGACTAACAAAAGTCTTCAACTTCTACTTATTCTCACAGTCACCATCACATTCAAGTCTTGTCTAAAACCCAACAACTCTTTTTTCCTTCTTCACTTGCAGTAACTTTCAAAATTCCTTCCAAAGCAGCTCTCACCCATCTATCTTTCCAACAACATTTCGCCAACCAACACTCTCCCCAAAAATATTTCTTTCAATACCTCTTCTTACAATTGTTTCCAACAAATATTTCCATATTGTAGCAGCTATATAAATTTTTCTCCTCTCCATGCTATTCATTTGACATCATTTGTTGAAAGTCATTTTGAACATACTGAATTTAAAAGAAGTTATACAGTGTATATTGATTCATTTTGAAATGAATGTTGTCTGTTCAAAGCCAGTACGGCATTAACTCATATACTTCTACAGAGTTAAGACCTCTCGGGCTCTCCGAAAACAATATACAATACAACAGAAAGCTCTTATGAAGTATATTTATCAATCAGGGCCGGTATTCAATGCGATACTCTGCTTAAGTAAAACTTTTACTTAGCATTTGGCTAAACTAAGTAAAATGTATTAACTCGTATTCAGATCACATTTAAGCAAATTACTTTTGCTAGCCGACTTTACTGCAAAATACTTACTAAAAAGCATTGTGACATCACACAGTCAATCAAAAGCTATGTGCAATTTACGTGTTGCATTAAATGCACGCTAATATAATTGTGTGCAGCTTATGATGACTGCGTATGAAAACCATACGCCTGTCAATCAATATTTCAAAATAATTTAATCAAGTCTGCTAAGGAGCTATCTTAAATTTATGGTAAAAAATTATTCAGAACAGAACCATCAACTGAATACCGAAGATGGCGAAGTATTTTTATATCTAAGCTGAAAAGTGAGTAAAAACTCATATTTCTGACTTAAGGATTGAATTGAATACCGGCCCAGTTCTGTATTTATAGAGGATTGAGATATATTGTAGTGTGATTATTACATTCTGTCATAATCCACATGATATTGGACTCTGAAATGTTTTCAGAATACTGTTACCTTTGAAATTCAAACGACATTGATGAACATTAAGTGTTCTTGATTGTGCTCAGTAGAATATACAAGAAAACTTTAGAATACAGTTGATGCTAAATCTTTAAATATATATTTCCATAAAAAAACTCTTCCTTGGACAAACTGAACAAGTATTTTAATTCATGAACATAAACCTTTTTTTACATTTTGTACATACATGTATGCATGAAAATATATCTGCCCTAAATAACATAAAACACATTTATATCAGTTGTTATTCAAAATATTGAATATTTTCATCCTGAAAAAATTACAATCATCTCCCTATCATACTGTATTTCACCTGTATACATGTACATATACATGAGCTGTCCATGTACATTATGGAGAATGATATCATGTATGTCATATAGGTATATGTGAATGATGAGAAATACATCTTATATCAGTAAACTCAATCCAAATCAAAACAATAGTGTGATTATTGTGTTATTGTTAATTATATTTTACAACAATTTGCACTAGTCTTTTGGTGCCAACGTGACATTAGAATTCCCATTAACCCTTTCCCTGCCATAGCAAGCACGAATTGTCAATGAACTTTTAAGAGCTGACTTGTGAATGTTAGTCTTTGTTTGATTGTTGAATTTCAGTAAAAAAAAATATCTGCTTTAAGAATGGAGTTTACTGTTCTTTTAGTTTTTGCTTCAAGAAAAAAAGTAGCAATTTGGTGGTTTCAGAACATATAATTAGTCATTCTTTGGCCTTATTTCAGCTGATGGCAAGGAAAGGTTTAGTCAGCAGATACACTTTGTTTTATTTAGAGAGATCATTTAAATCTGCACTTGACAGCATTTCTCCATGGAGTTTATCCACGAGTCATGCTTATTTGACTAATTATCATTACCATATGTTTTGTGTGGTGATATTTTTGCTTGTTTGCAGTGAGATTTGCATCGATGCATTATTTATGTAGCATACTAACATGAATTGCTTGGTTTTCTCCCCTCTCCCTTTGTTTTTATTCTTATTTTTATCATTCCTCTTGTGAAAATGGTCCAAATTGCTGTCCATAAACGCACATCACTTGCTATAACATGGATGAATGCATGTGCATGTTTTGCAATTTCACATAAATCATTAATATTTTATGTTGGATGGATTTTTGCATGCAATGATATGTGTTTGGTGGCATGTATTGCTTGTTTGTTTTTTGATATTGGTAATTTTTTATTTTTTATTTGATGAATTTTGTTCAATGATTTGTTAATATATATGCCTGCACTTTTAATATAATCTATATATTGAATAATCGCTGTACGTGTTTCATGCTATTTCTGCTTGCACAAATGCTCTATCCTCATTCTCTCCCTTTCCATTCTCTTGTTGTAAAAAAAAATTGTGATGTAATTGTTAATAAACCCAGACAATGCGTCAAGGCATTGTCAATGACGGCATGCGATTTAGCCGCAAATACCAAACCATGGCACATTCAGCAACAGACGGTAAAAGTGATCTTCGATGAGTTCTACCAACAGGTAGGAGGAGCCTAATAACATTATATGAATAATGCAAGATGCTTATGAATATATGAATATTTATGTCATGCATTGTGGTATGTTATATACTAATCAATGTTTACTCTCTAATTCTGGGTTGATATGTGTTTGTTACGAGGGTGTGTGGGTGTGTATGCAAGTATGTGTGGTGTGGTAAAGCACGGAAGTATGATGTACATGAACATGAATATGCATGAGGAATCATGCATATTCATAGCCACGCAGTGCTCTTTCTTCCACTGTGTGTATTCACAAAATCATTTTGAATGTCTGTATCAATACTGAAAATGTAAATGTTTGTTAATCATAATGTGTTTGTTTTAAAAAGTTGTTAATGTGTATCACTGTGGTATCAAATTCTTATACACTTTCTACATTTCTGATTTATTTCCTTTATTTTTGGAAGCCTTCTTTTTGTCTTTCAAGAAAAATATTGTAACAAGATTGATGTTTTTTTTTATATAATGCCTTTATTACCTTTAGATAGTACTTACCTTTAGATAGTACGAGGTATTTGTTATTTATGCTCAATATGCTCATTAAGGCCTTTTTAATTCATGGAAGATAGTTATTGGTTTTCCCCACACAGGAACTTTAAATTTAAAAATAAATGAATTATACAAATTTCTACAATTAGTGATATTGAAAGTGTTATTGTATCTCAATTTGTATACACCCATGTAGATTCTGAGAAGGCTATTTTTCATTCTTAAGGTCTTGTATCTAGAGGAACTCAAAATGCAGTGTGTTTTTGCTTTCTTTGTTTATGTGGAATTTTTGGTTCATTCTTATAAATATTAAAAATTAAAATTTCAGATTTTTAATAAGCTTTTAGGATTATTGGAAAGAAATTTATAATTTTTCTAAATGTCAAGGCAATTTGAGTTTGTATTCTTATTTTTGTTTCCTTCTCCCTATAAATGTAGCAAGAAAACACTGACCACTTTGCTGCCTCTCACTCTCTATGCATGTCTTGGTATATGTAATTAATTGATTTACAAAATTATTTCCCACCCCCTCCCCATTTTCCCCCTACTACATATGGTCACTTCTTTTCCTATACATCCCCCCTCTCTCTCTCTCTCTCTCTCTCTCTCTCTCTCTCTCTCTCTCTCTATATATATATATATATATATCTCTCTCTCTCTCTCCATCTCTTTCACACACTCTCTTTCTCTACTCTTTTAAGTATACCCTATCTCACTTTTTACACGTATCTTTCTTTCTCGTTCTTACCCTTTTCTGTTTCTTGCTATCTATCCTCCACTCCGTCTAAATTGTCATTCTCTGTATCTCTCTCTGTCTCTCTGTCTCTCTCTCCCTCTTTCTCTCTCTCTCTCTCTTTCTCTTTCTCTCTCTCTCTTTCTCTCTCTCTCTCTCTCTCTCCCTCTTTATTTCATTCTCTCTGTTTCATTTTCTTTCTTAAGGTATACAAGCTACATGTTCCAATTAAAATAACACTAACTTACACATAAACAAGCACATATGAGTTGTTTACATAAATATTCTTTTCACTGTTCACACAGATGACTCACTGTCCATATTGATTTATTATCACCTTTTAAATATTAGTTTCTGAATTTTATGTCTTTCTACCCTATATCGTTGTCATTTCTATAGTTTACTTGGACCATGTCTTCAAAATTCTGTCTTCAAAGTTCAAAGATCTCAATAATATCATAAAAATCCTTTGTCAGAAACAAAACAGAATTGACTACTCATCTCGAAATATGTTATTATTGAATAAAACTAATATGAAATACAGAAAATGGGTCTATACTTTAAAATTGAAAAAATCAATTAGTCCCTGCCCCAAAACTTAACGCATTCTCAAGAGAGAGAGAGAGAGGGAAGCAGCAAAGTGGGGGTTTGTCGCCCTCTGTAGCTGGCATTGTCAAAAGATATTTTAAGGGATGATAGCTAGCGAATCGGTGGAAGAAAAGAGTGTTTATCTTAATATTTCTGTAGAGGTCTGTGCCGCTCTATAGCCATGACAGCCTGTGATCTGGTAGCTGTTGTCAAACCATTTGATCTTCAACGAAAGGTTGCACTTGAAATCTTCGAGGAATTTTATCAACAGGTGCCCCTCTACACTCTCCTATGTCTTTCTTGTGTGTGGTTTTTTTTCTGACTCTTTAATCACAGAAAGCTCAAAGGTCACAGAAGGCCTGTCATCATCAGCTCGAGTTTGCCAAATAACCCGCTATTTTAACTATCCCGATCGTAAATTATCCAGCTGATTATCCTCTTCATCAGTCCGCAGTTGCAATGAGCGGGATATTTGGTTGAGATAATCATCCCAAAATATTTTGGACTACTAGTAGTTTGCAAATATCCCCCTATTTAGCAAAATATCCTGCTATTTGTCTGGTGCGTCTTGATAAGCCCGACGACTCGAACTACGAACGCTGAGCAAAATATCTCGAGCTTATTTCTCGAGGTCGAGTCTGATGAAGACGCGATTTGAAACTTCGGGCTTATTTCCCAAATTAGAAATAGCGGGCTATTTGGCAATCTCGAGCTGATGAAGACATACCTAGAAAGGGAGTTTAAAAGTATCTATATTTTTGCACCTTTAAGAAAAAAAATTACGATTTAGAACGTTTAATTTTTAACTACCGGTATATCCTGCAACACTCATGCAGACAGTCTTTTCTGAAGAAGATAATATTTCAAAAACAAATCGTCCTTGTTTTCACGAAGTGACGGTAGTGAGGAAAATTGTCACGCAAAGTGAATGCAATTATTTTTCACTACCGTCACTTTGTGAAAACAGCGACAAAATTATCTATACAAATTAGTAATGATCAAGCCTTTTAGATTTCTGTGATTAAATGAAATTTAACATTTGCCCTTTTGTATCTAATCAACATTTGCAGTGTATCATGTGTGTGTGTGTGTGTGTGTGTGTGTGTCTTTCCCACTTGTGTGCTAGAATGGCTCGTGTGCATGTTTTGTTGAAAGTTATTCAAATCCAGTGATATTGCATGTGTAAGAACATTGCCATATACAATCCTCATAATGTATATTTTGGTTTAAATACTTTAGTACCAAAAATGATTTAATTACTTTCAAACAAAAAATGAATTCGCAGGATGAAAATTTTGAGACTTTCTTCATGATGGCTTGTTTGCCACTATATACAAATTGCAAAATATATCTGATTCAATTATTTCTAAAAAAATAGTACTTTCAGAAATCCAAGTTTTATAGATGTTGTTATTTACAAGTTTCTGATTCTTGATTAAGAATTTATCTACATGCACTTACTTCATACTGTTCCGAAATCTCTGTTGCATTACTTGTGTATGAACAGTTAGCAACTAAATTATTCATAAACTTTCCAAGATTTAATTTTGTTAAGTATGTGAACAATTGATTTGTCCTGATTTATGTTGCTTGAGAATGGAACATATTAAAGCTTACATCTAAAAGTATTCAACAAATGCCCTAATTCAACAAGTCCACCATTCTTGAATTATGAAAAACCAAAATCAAATTTACTAGAGGAATGAATAATTTGGTTGTTAAGTGTATATTTCAGGAGTACACTTGAAATGTTTAGTTACATTTAGACTATAACTGTAAAGGAAAGCAAGGGATATTTCTAAGTGGGATATATTTTGCCTTTCCTAATCCTGGACATCTACTTTAACTAAAATATAACATGAAAAGGTAACCACTTCAATTATGCTGTTTCTTAACAATTAAACCCAACTGATTAATATATATTACATTAACCCTCTCATTTTAAGATGGCAATGGTGTCCTCAAAGCCATCAATTTGTCAAAAACATTACAAAATATGATGAGCCTTCTTCCCAAGCTCATAAAATGTACAGACTTCAGATCTTCTCCCTTTACGCAAACAGTTTTCATCCAAGTTTCACACAGTACCACCCAAGCTCAAGAAGTTAACATCTTCTCTAGATTACATGTCGTTCAGTTTCAAATTGAATATGCTGGAATACCACCTAAGCTGACAAATTATTTTCATCTCAGTGGCATTCTATCATAGTATTTAAGTTGATAATTGACACATTTCCTTTGATTTCAGTCTATTAGAATATTATCAATGTTACATGTACATGTACACAATACTGTGGTAATTACACATCTACTTTAAAGCTGATACAAAATTTTGGGTGATATTTCGACGGGATTGGATTATGAAATTTAAAATTTGCATTACCATTGTGAAACCTAGTGTTAAAATAAGCAACTTTGACAAAATTGAGCTCGAAAGTGGTAAGGATTTTCTGAGTTTTAAAATTGAATGGGGTTAATTTTATTTTGCAATTCATTTTACTGTGATTAATATTCCATCAAATTACATTTCCAGAAACCATTAATATATAGAGTATACATTTTTCATTCCATTGACAAAATTTATTTTTGTAATTTACAGAATCCCATATTCCAGACCATATTACATGTAAACATCATCAAAACAGCTATTATTATTTTTTTTTTGGGGGGGGGGGGCAAAAAACAAATGATTTATGAATACAATATCTTCATTCAAAGTAGGTTATGCTGCATGCTGCATGTGATTTGGTTGAATATATTCAAATTCATAATTTATAGTTTTTTAATTTGTTCATTTTTGTATAATAACTTTCTAATCATTCCTGAAATTAATATTTTTAATTATTTTAGGCTATGTTGCATGTTGCATATGATTTGATTAGGGAAATAAGATATATAATTAATAACTAATGTATTTCCCTTTTTATCTAATAACCTTCTAATAGTTATTAGAATATTTTTTTTAATATTTAGGTTAATTTGGATGCCGTTTGTGATTTTGTCAAAGAAATTCAGATTTTTAGTCCATATATTTTATGAATTTTTCATCTCCCCCCCCCCCCCCAAGTAACAGGCATACCATTCTCAGACCATAGCCTGATTTCAGACACTGTCATCTTCCAATTTAAGCTTTCTCAGGCTTTATAATGTACAGAAGCCATTTTTCAGGCTGATATGATGAAATAAAGAGGTTTCCCTATAACCATTTACTTAATAATTATCAAACAGTATGTTTAATCATGTTAGTGTTATATGTTTCATTTATTTAATTCATTCGTTTCCATGTAAAGATAAGTAAAAGTTACATGATATTCAAAATACTAATATATAATGGGATATCTGCAGTGGGAATATCATGAAAAAGCACATAAATGGCTTGTTAAAAATGATCCTAAATGAAATGAAATAAGCCATCTTTGAGTTTTTTGTTGATTAGGCAACTAGATAGTGGCGCTTTATAAATTCCTGGATTGGATTGGATTGTTTTGTTTGTTTGTTTGTTTGTTTGTTTAATTCAATGATGTATGTTTGTTTGTTGTTGTATAGGGTGATGAGGAGAAGGCAGCAGGCAGGAATCCAATCCCAATGATGGATAGAGACAGGGCTCATGAACTTCCAGCCAATCAGGTAAGAGCATGCATAATATGTCTTTCAAATAAAAAGATTAGTTTACCAACATTTTTAGATATTTGGATGTTTCTCTCCTGAGGACCTAGTGAGGAAATATTCCATTAACCTGCTATTAAAGGTAAAGACCAGTATTGGAAACGCCCCAATTTCAAAAAATGAAATGGAAGCTCTCATTACCAATCATGTGAAAGAAAATGTTTTGACTAATACATGATGATAAAAAATTTGCCGGGAAACCGCATACTAATTCATATATTTGGTAAATTTGTTTCTCTCATGGTCTGTGAGAGATATAAGGTAGTCCCATATACATCTTTCTGTGTATAGCGCTTGTAACTTTACGAAGAATGGGCCAAATTTCTTATCATTTTGATGATTCCAGAACCTTGCAGATGCTAGATGCTAGATGATCAACCTTTTCTGATCGATTCCACAACGTTTCTTTCACAATGCAATCGCATGACAACTGGTCTTTACCTTTAATAAATGAACTACAATGCTTGGAGTCAAGTATGCATACATTACTAGTTGCTATGTATGGCAAGCCTCAGACAAGCTTTCAGCTTGCCAAGAACAACCTTTGTTTAAAAAAGTATGCATGACATTTTTAATATTAGCAAACTGGTCTATTGAGATAGATTCACCATTTGTCACTTTCACGTTAGTCCAATAAAGGCTCTTTAAAGGCAATGTCGTGTTTTGGTAAGCCCTCAAAAACTTCCTCTGGTTCAAATCTAAGATTGCCATAATGTTTCTACATACACAATGTACATTTGTTCATTAATACATGAGAAAAAGGTTGATTGCTGCAGTCCACTCTTTGTTATAATATTCGAGTGAAACAAGTAAATACCATATAGAATAGACCATTTTCATAATGTAACTAAATTTATACTTCAGTGCCTCGATTCAAATTATTTCGAATGAATGTACTTTAATAGTCAAAATGCAAATTGCATATTATTACATGTTGTTAGGTAGGGCAAGCCAAAGTTTTTGTCCTACCTAGCAACAACTAATACTGTTTTCACACTGGCAATATTTTGCTTAACCCCGTACTATAGGTGGGGTTAAGGGGGGTCTTAGCCCCACCTATAGTACGGGGTTAAGCCTATTCCACTTTCTGTTCAGACTGGTTTTTACCAAAGTGGGCTAAAGTTGGCTAACCCCACCTATAGTACGGGGTTAACTAACCCTGCAAAATAGCAGGGCTAACTCCGCAATTGTGGTGCTAACTCCTGCTAACCCCGCAATTGCGGTGCTAAGCAAATGAATGAGAACACAAACGAAAAATAGTCCGGTACTACGCAATGGAGCGTATCGCAGCTGGCCAGATGCAAAGTATGTCCAATAATAACATTCACGATATCCGGGGTTAACGAAATGCAGTGAGAACAGTGGGAATTTTCTTATTCCGGAATAGGCGCTAGTACGGGACTAAAAACAGCGTGTGTGAAAAGCCAAAAAAAATAGTCCGGGGTTAAGGATAGTACGGGGCTAAGCAAAGTACGGGGTTAAGCAAAACCAGTGTGAAAAGAGTATATGTATTCAAGTTGAGTTCTGACTATTCATATACATATATTTGTAACAGGTAAATGAAATACTTTGTATCGAGCCGCTTCACAAAGGCACATGTATACCGGTAAATGTTGTTAAATTACTTAAATGGCCTATTGTGATTCCAGTTACCTACAGGCGTACCGAGGCACGTTGAAAAGAGAAAATTCCAACTTCTATATATTTGACTGAGTACCAATGAGTACAGTAAGAGTGGGAATAAGTATTTAGTTTTGAGCAGTGTCCAAAGAAGATTTAAATGATATCGATACTCTAACTTTGAACCCCTAGGTATCGTTTATCGTTGGTATCTGTCTGCCGTGCTATGATCTCCTGGCCCAGCTAGTGCCTTCAGCCAAGCCGATGTATGAAGGAGCAGCGTAAGTCTTTTCTTTCAAAGTCAAAGTATTACTTAAGTAGTCACCCAAAGAAAATTCATGACAACTGATAATTATGGACAAATTATATATGGTAGAAAGATTTTCTCTTGAAAAGCATGAAGAAGTTGCTGAAAAATCATATAGATATCATGGAAAGATGTAAAAATGCAATCTAATTGCTACCTGTGTCTCCCATGTGACGTCACGAACCTTGACGCTCTACAGAGGACCGCTGAATTCAGGCAGAAAATCTGGATCTCAAAATTAACATTTTAGAGATATGATTACTGCAGGCCTAAAACATATTTTGAAGAGGGAAGCTGTTTGTAATGATATGAATTTTGCATCAGTTTAAAGCACTTTTGATTCTTTGGGTGACTATACTTTAACCTTTCACCGATGAATGCTGTTGAGTCAGTTTTTACAGCATGTAATATTTTTTACTTTTTTCTTTCAATGTGTTATAAAAATCTCAAGTATAAAACTGATTAGATATCAAGTGGCTATAAGTTAGGGGAACAGCTGCTGAGTACCCCGCCACGCAAGTAATCCCAAGAAAAACCAAAACCAAAATTGTAATCCTTACCCTAACCCTAACAGTATAGCCCTAATTTGAACCCCATTAAATCTTAACCCAAATACATGCGGGAGAGTATTCTACTAAGCCAGATTTTTTAGTCAAAATATACATTTGTAATACATGACTTTGGCCGACAGTTGGATTTTACATCAACTTTAAACTCTGTAAATATTTTCATAATTTGGCAGATTGCCACGATGAAGATATGAATAAAACTATGAATTGACCTCACCGTCAACAGTTAAACAAGAGAGTTGTTCCTACGAGTAAATAAAAGCTTGATTCTTTTGCATTTTCATGTAAAATACTGGTTGGAATAAGGAATTCAATTTCAGAAAGCTTTTCAAAATCCAATGTCATTCTCTATGTACAAGAAGAAAGGCATTATCATCATTAAGCTTACTTGTAAATGTCAATCAGATAATGTGATAAATCAATAATATAGTAATATATATATGCTACCTCATTCATTCAGAATTTTAGCAAGAAATTAGTGCATCCTATTGAATATGAGCCTTTAATTATTGTTAATTTTCCATTTAATATTGAAACCTTCAGGAAGAATCTTCAGAACTGGTCTGCACTGGTTGCCAAGCAGAAATCTGAAGAAGAAGATAAGAAGCCCGGGGATGAAGAGGGCAAGACAGATGGAGACGAGAAGAAGGAGGAGAAGAAGCCAGATAAGCCAGCTCCTCCTGCTAAAGCCCCTCCTCCATCTCCTAAAACCAGTAGCATCCCTAAAGAAGTACTGGAGAGTGATGATGGCCTGGAGTAGATCCTGTTCCAACGGAAAGCATCTATTTGAATACATCCACACCCTAAGCTTAGAAACCAGGTTAAAAGAATTACTGAATTCTGTTCCTCTTGAAAGCATCTATTTTAATACAGCGACGCCCTTAGTAACCAGGTTACAGAAATGACTGGATTCTGTTCTAACGGAAAGCATCTATTTAAATACAGCCACATCCTTAGTAACCATGGTTTCACAAAATGACTGGATTCTGCTCCAACTGAAAGCATCTATTTGAATACAGCGACGCCCTTATAGTAACCATGGTTTCAAGAATGACTGGATTCTGCTCCAATGGAAAGCATCTATTTCAATATACACCCACACCCTTAGTAACCAGGTTCCAAGATTGACTGGATCGTGTTCCAACGGAAAGCATCTATTTGAATACAGCCACACCCTTAGTAACCAGGTTCTAAGAATGACTGGATTCTGCTCCAACGGAAAGCATCTATTTGAATACGGCCACACCCTTAGTAACCTGGTTCCAAGAATGACTGGATTCTGCTCCAATGGAAAGCATCTATTTGAATACACCCACACCCTTAGTAACCAGGTTCCAAGATTGACTGGATCGTGTTCCAACGGAAAGCATCTATTTGAATACAGCCACACCCTTAGTAACCAGGTTCTAAGAATGACTGGATTCTGCTCCAACGGAAAGCATCTATTTGAATACGGCCACACCCTTAGTAACCTGGTTCCAAGAATGACTGGATTCTGCTCCAATGGAAAGCATCTATTTGAATACAGCCACGCCCTTAGCAACCAGGTATCAAGAATGACTGGATTCTGCTCAAATGGAAAGCATCTATTTGAATACGGCCACGCCCGTGTAGTAACCAGGTTACAAGAATGACTAGATTCTGTTCCACCCTGCGCTTAGTAATCAGGCCTCATTCATGGACTTGATGTGAAATCTTTGTTGAAAATGGGCCTTTAATGGTTTGACTCTCACGAAACTGGCTATGTTAAGAGGATCGTGGTTGGTTGAGAGCAGAATGTCATCCAGCAAAATGAAACAGACAAGCAAATGACTATGAAGTACAAATGAAGCATGAGGCATGATTGCAAAGATGTTCATGGCGTACATGAATGTGGACCAGTGCAAGTAGGTGTAGGTGGGTGGACAATAAAGCTTATCTGTACTAGTTTGGCCAGGAGGGACAAGACTTCTCTGCATGGTTACGGACTGGTGGTTATCTCATCAAATCAGCTCTCAATTAACATAAGAAAAGGGGATCTTGGGGGACCAATGGTTACCGATTAGGCATTGTTTGCTATATAGAGGGCGCAAGTAGCTATAAATAGTGCAATGGGGCTTTAACATCAACCATTAGATGCAGGGTTCTAATCCCTGACATGGTACTAACACTCCTCGTCAATACATTTATTTGTATCTGCCACTCTCCATCCAGGTGAAGTAAAATGGTACCCATTACGAAGAAATTCCTCAAATACTTAAGCATCCTATCTGGGTAGCGAGGCTGTAGCCGGTGAAGTAACACTATTGAGCACTTTAGATCCTTTATATGGAAAAGTGCTTTATGAATCCCTCTCTTAGTACAACATATATTGAGTTAAGTCCTTGCATCAGCTTCATTATACAGGATTCTGTATCCATGACAACCATTGAATACAATGGGAACATCAACAAGTCAAAACATCAACTGAAATCAGGGATTTTTCTCTTCGTCATCTTCGTAATCATTATTGCTCTTCTGCATTGTACATAGAGACATATGTACAATGAACGCTGAAAAAGAAATCTATCTGAAAGATCTAATGTTAACAGTTTATTTTGAAAGACATTTCACTGCAGTACAATTGTAAGTAACATTTTTGAAAGAATTTGAAATTTGATTTTTATGCCATTCATAGCACTACAATATGAATTATTGTAATAAAGCTCTATGTACAGGTATTTAGTTTAAGTCTACATGAATCATAAGCATTACATGTATTTTGTGCTGAGAAAATAAAATGAATAGATGAAGTATGAGTACTGGTAGCTATGCATTTCATAGTGCATTTTTAAAAGCATGTTGATTTTCTTACAAGAGAAATTTGTACAGTATGTTTATTCATGTGTTACATGTTTTAGTTGTACATGTACAGATATAAATCTACCATTGATGTGTTTTAACTGTCAATTTTTCAGCATTCTATGCTGGTATTTGAAGGGGAAGAAAAACAGGTGCATTTTATATAAAACGAAAAATAACTGAATTGTACATGCATTATGATAGCAATATGAATCTTAGAAATATCAGTATAGCACAGGTACACTGTAGATATAATGTGAAATTATACTTTATTTTATACACTATTTACATGCATGAATATAAGACTGCAACACTAGCAAACAGAAACAATTCTGACAAAAAATTATTTGATCATAAAAGGATCACTGGTAAACATAATCACATTATTGAACTTGATTTTGAATGTAAGAAAAAGCCTCTCCATAAATTTTAAGAAAACCATTAGCAAAGGACTGTAATTATTATTTTTAGTAAGAATAATGGTTCTATACACATAACGTGACAGGTTACTTAAAAGCATTTTCTGCCTCTGTCATAAGTTTTGATTTTAATAGTCTACCTCTGACTAAAATGTTCAGGAACTCGACTTGATTCAGTATTTTGGGCATTTTTTTCAAATTTGTTCTCTCTCTCCTCTTTTTGAAATCATGGAAAGGAAGGCACGTATCTGACGAGTACTGGAAAAAGTCTTATTTATTCATGACAATATTTTTGCTATTAATTAAAATATTGTATTAACAAAATTGTTTTGTGGGACATTTTTTAATCAATTTGGGATTTACCAGTACTTTAAATAATTTTTTTTTTTTTTACAAATTCTGGTCAAATGCTCCGGACAAGACATTAAACAATAATTTGTGTTCACACGTTGATTAAATCTCCCTATATTATTAGGAGAAAGGTTTTCTGGCATGAAAGTTGTCATTTGTAAACTGGGAAATCATTTTTCAAAGATGCTTTAAATCCTTCAGTAATATACAATATAGTTCAAATGTATTACTTTACAAGATATATACTTACATGTATAGTACATGTAGACAAAACAGGTATTTTTATAATGCTCATGGATACCATTGCTACACATCTGCATAGCAATTTACTTTGTTATCCCCAGCGCATGCTATTTCTTGTGTAAAAAAATATTTATCTTTCTGTGTCAGATGTGTGAATGTATTTTAAACTGTAAATAGGCCTTCTTTTAAAATCATTTAAATGTACATAAAACACTTTTTTCTGAACCAATTCTGTGCCAAATTTTTGCTGCTTTTATTCCTGGACTTTGGAAATAAATTGCTTTTAGTTTACTTCTACCTTATCCTACAAAATAGTGCACCAAACAGGTTAAGGATGATAATAATCACTAGTAAAACCTTGAATGAATGTAATACATGTACATATAGCGTGCTAGACTTGTGCTATTGCTTAACGAGTACTCCATTAGGAATACATGTATTGTCGATTCCCACATACATGTGCATACACTGTCCATGTACAAAATGTATTTCTGTATTTCTGATGGTTTAAACTCTATTATTCAGTCGTATTCCTTTCCTCTATGGGTAATTGCTTACACCAGTTATGGGTTACGTTCATGTTATTAGGACTTCACTGTTATTATTTTTAAGATTCAATTCCATGCCTTCATGCTGAAAAATGAGATAATATATACTTTATATTTATTATTTGTAATTGTAAATGCTCATTTTAGAGAATTTAAGAGAATTCAAACTCCACAAGATTCTAACATACCTTACAGTGAATTCCTTCAAAATTTTGCTCCAGCCGATTTTTGTTTTGTTTTAAATAATGAACTGAAAATGTTTTTTCAGCCTGATTATAGGTAAAGGTGCATTACTTGTACATCCATAATACGGGAAGTTAGACTGAGAAATTTTGTATCACTAACCAAACACCTACATTATCAAAACCAATTTTTGTTTTGTTTTTCCAAACCAAAGTAAAGAAATAATCCAGTATGAATTTCAAAATATTGATCTGAGGGGGGAGTTTTTCTATTAGTGTAATAGCAATAAGAGGAATAGTAGGCAAGAGGATTGTATGCATTCATTTTGATATTACTTGCACATTCAGTAGTTGAACTGTTTGTAATGTACTTATAATGAACTTGTACTTGGGAACTTAAGTGTAAAACATTACTCTTTTTTTAGCCCTCCATCCATCCATCTCTCTCTCTCTCTCTTTCTGTCCCTCGATGACCCTCTGTAGTACTACCAGTAGCATACAATGCTGCTCACAGTTATTTTACTGTAAACATTTTGTTTTAAAAACTTTTACTGTAAAAATGGAAATAATATGAGATGTACAGACCTGTTCAAAAGCATCATACTTTTCCTGTTATTGTTTTGTTTTTTTCTGTAAAAGCTTCATGGTTCTGTTGGTGTGCAAAACAAAAGTCAGCATTCATGATTTTTGTTATTTCAACTATTAAGGGGGATTTGAAAGTAAGGAAAAGATTTTCTTATGTAATTCACTTCACATCTCCATAAAGAATGGGTACTACAAAGTTGGTGAATGTATTATTATCATGAAATGATGTGTAAAGTACATTGTAGGAATGTAAGATTGATAAAGTGTTTTTATGGAACAGTATTAAGATATGAGTTTGCTTGTTGTCTGTACTGCAACCCATCCCTACCTAGCTTTTAATTAATTTATTGAAAATATAAGATGCATTATGATGATACAATCATACCTAAAGGCTTAAAAAGTGTACATATAAAGTGTAAGATTTAAGGGAGATTTTGAAATGATAGATTAATATTGATGTAGATACCGAGTATCATGATTATCTTCTGTTTGTTTTTATATGTATATGTATGTTTTTATCGAAAAATAGATGGCTATATGATGCATGGCGCATTGTGAACACCCAAATGTAATTATCGTCACATGAAATCCGCCTAGCAGCTTTTTTAGCAAAATGTTAAAGAAATGTCATTATGTAAATAAAAGAATCTCTTCTTAGTATAGCAT